TGTTGGCAAGAAGAGTATGGAAATGTAGAGAAATCTATGATTTAAGATGCTAGTGAGTAACCTTAGAAAGGTAACTTGTTTCACTGGTAAATTGTTCCATTACTGTGAGTAAAATGCTCACTGCTGTATTCTAATGTTTGAATTATTTTTTCTCTGAAACACAGAAGTTTTCTAAATGTCAAAAAAAAATTAAAAATGATGAAACATGTGCTTTTGAGTTGGGAATATTACCAGCTCTCCCAATAGTTTTAACTTTCTAAATTGGAAAGCAGATGTGTAGTTATTACTTAAATATCAATGTAAAATTATAAATACTCCCCTTTCATTATTTATAGGAGTGTTTATTATGCTCCTATTCCAGTAGAATGCCTTTCAGATTCTATTTCACATCAGTCAGAGTGGCTTACAAGAAGCAAACAAATGACAGGAAATGCTGGTAAGAATGCCAGGAAAGGGATACCCTTATTCACTGTTAATGGTGTTGTAAACCAGAAAAGCCACAGGGAAATCAATGTGAAGGTATTAAAAGGCTATGCATAAATCTACCATAGGGCTCAGCTATACTACTGTTGGACATATACACAAAGGATTCTATGCCATAATGCAGAGAAACCTGATAATTCATATTCAGTGATATTCTAATCACAAGAGCCAGAAATGTTTCAAGCCTAGATGATCATTAAGTGATGAATAAACAACTACTACCCAATGGAGTTTTACTCAGATGTAAGAAAAATTAAATTATGAAAACTTCAGAAAAATATATAGAAAAAATATACTGAGTGAAATACACATGCCCAGAAAGTCAGATGCCACCTAATCCATCTCAAACATGGGTTCTTCTATATGTGATTGTTTAGATCTTTGTGTTTTGTGTGAGTTCTTCTAAAGACTGAGAAACTAGAGGAGACATTGAGAAATATACCTTGGAGAAAGTTAGTAGAATATAAGTAATATGGGAATAGAAGGAGAAATACAGGAAGTATAGAGATTTGAGAAGAGAGAAGAGAGTTAATAATAAAAAACTCTGTGTCAAAGGGCCATATGGAAGTCCACTATTTTGTAAACCAATTTAAAGTAAATAGAGGAAAACCAAATGCTAAGAAACACAAAGAAGTTTTCAAGATCTTAGCCATCAGTGAAATGTAAATGTAAACTACTCTTAGATTTCATTTTACCTCTGTCAGAATGGCTATGCTCAACAAAACAAGTGACAGCTCATGCTGACAAGAATGTAGAGTAAGGAGAACACTCCTGCATTGATGGTAGGGATGCAACCTTTGTAGCCGCTATGGAAATCAGTGTGGTGGTTCCACAGGAAGATGAGAATGAATCTACCTTGAGATACAGCTAGACTACTCTTGGGCATATACCCAAAGGATGTTTCATCCTACTACAGAGACACTTACTTAGTCATACTCATAATAGCCAGAAATTGCAAACAACTGAGTTGTCACTCAACAAAAGAATGAACAATCAAATTGTGGGACATTTATACAATGGAGTATTATTCAGCTGTTAAAAAATCATATCATAAAACTTGAGGGCAAATGGATGTAACTAGAAAAAAATCATTCCGAGTAAAATATCTAAGACCCACAAGGACAAATGAGATATGTATTGTTTATATGTAGATATCGATTCTTAAGTTGATAATAAACAAGCTACAATCCATACAGTCACAGAGGATATATATAGAGAAAAGGACTAGAGGGAACAGAGAGATCTTGTTGAGAGCGACAAGTAGAATAGTTAGATATGGATGGATGGAGCTAGAATTGAGTCATCAAATATCAAGAGAGAGGGAAGAGAGGGCTGAAGGAGGGAATGAGGGAGACACAGCTAAAAATTAAGGTGAATATGGGAGGATAGTATGGTAATCCAACACAATAGAAACTTTCTAAAATAAATGAATATAGAAAGGGAATCTAAAACCACCAAATAATGGTTTCCCAACTGACTATCATGTGTCACCAAATGAAGCTTCCCGTATTGTTATTGAATTACATATAATTGAATTATTGGCCAAAGGTGCCCCAAGGAAATCTGAAATAATGAAAACTGTTATCAAAACTATATATTGCTCTTCACAAACTGACAGAAAGGCCCCATTTGCTGAAGACAACATCTACACAACTCATTGAACATGGAGATGCTCAGCTGGTGCCTATATAGAGCATTACCCTCTATGTTTCAGTTGTTACAGAAAGTTGCTTTACAAGCTATCAAAAGAGAAATGCAAACTCCAAACCAGCCACAACCTCTTTATCTACAATGGTGTAATAACTGCGAGAGTTGATAAGGCAATGGTGGCTTGTGGGAATATCCAACAAATAACCGATTTGACTTAGGGTCCGTGCCATGGCCTTAAACCTATACATGGCATTGCTTTGGTGACCAAGAGACTGAGAGTAGATAACCAAGAGGCCTAAGGTAGAACCAAATAATTCTGTTCTAAAAACAATAAATAAAAAGAACAATAAAAATCCCCCAATGATTCCTTTGCTTATCACTCCTCTTTGCAACTGGGTTCCAGGAGTTCAGGTCAGTTTTTAGCTGTGGCTGTGTGCCTCTGCTTCCGTCAGCCACTGGATGACGGTTCTAGGATGGCATATAAGATAGTCATCAATATCATTATCAGGGAGGGCATTTAAGGTAGCCTTAATGCCAGTTGGTGTAATTCTTATAGATCTCTGAAAATCTCACTAGTGCCAAATCTCTCCTTCAGCCTATAATGGCTCCCTCTATTATGGTATCTCTCATCGTTCTCTCTATTCTTACCCTGACTCAAAACCAGACCCAGCTGGTAAAACCCATAGAGGCAGTTGACCTAAACAAGGAGGAATGCATGGACCCCAGACTGATGACTGATAGGACAGCATGGGACTAACCCAGACCCACTCCCCCAATCCCTTAGCCCCGGTATCAGAGAGGAGGCCTCGGCAATCTATGGGACCTTGGGGAATAGATCAGTATTTATTACTGGCATACAAATGGACTCTGGGAGCCCATTCCACATGGAGGGATGCTCTCTCAGCCTGGACACATGGGGGAGCACCTAGGCCTTGCCACGGATGATATGACAGACTCTGAAAATCCCTCATGGAAAGCCTTACCCACCATGTGGAGTGAAGAGGGGATGGAGTGAGGGGTTGGGAAGATTAGGGGGCTGGGGGAGGAGGGCAGGGAAAGGAAACTCGGAGTACAATGTATAAAAAGTTAAATAAAAATTATTATTAAAAAAATAGTTATAGAAGAAGTCATGAACTCCAGAGGGAGTGAGAAATCAAACAAGGAATTGAAGAGGGGAGAGATGGAATGATGTAACTACAGTTTTGCCTTCTAAAAAAAATAAAAATTTAGTGTGCATGCTGATTCAGATTCTGCAAGTTTATCTGAGCCTTGCCCATGCTGATTTAGTTCCCTTGGTGTCCTTCATTCCCTCTTGCTCCTACTTTTGTTCACCCTCCTGCCTGTTTGTGGGTTTCCTGAGCTCTGAGGGTAGGGATTTGATCTCCCTCCTCTCTCTCTCTCTCTCTCTCTCTCTCTCTCTCTCTCTCTCTCTCTCTCTCTCTTTCTCTGTCTGTCTGTCTCTCTGTCTCTGTCTGTCTGTCTCTCTGTCTCTGTCTCTCTTTCTCTCTCTCTCTTTCTCTGTCTCTCTGCCTCTGTCCCTCTGTGTTTGTGTGTGTGTGTGTGTGTGTGTGTGTGTGTGTGCGTGTGTGTTGCATAATGTCTGATTGTGGGTCTCTATATCTGTTCCTGTCTGCTGCAGGAGGAAGCTTCTCTGATAATAACTGAACAAGCAACTAATCTATGAGTATAACAAAATATCATTAAGGTTTTAAACTAAATTTTACAGTATTTAGCGAAACTATAACAACTATCTGTCTTCAGCTCCATCAAAGACCACAGAAAGGATAATATGTAAACACTAGAATTGACAGAGACATCTTGCTACCTGGACAGTCACCCAAAGTTCCTCTGTTTCATATGTTATATCACCTGGGACACTGCTTCAGGGGGGTCTTGCTTTATCAATCCATAGAAGCCTGGAAGGAATCCACAGCCTTTCATTTTCTTTGGAAACACAAATAAAATCTCTTTTCCAAAGTAACATATCCTTATACTTTAATTTTGAAATCAAGGCATTTTTAAAGGATATAAGTTGGATTGATTCACCAGCATTTATAATCAAGTATATTTCACTAAGTGTTCCTTCCTTAGCAATTGAACAACGGAAAAACACAATAGCATACAGTATCCAGACTCTGTGTATTTTCCATCTTTATATAGCTTTTTTATTTGTCTGTTTATTATTATTACTCTATTTCTTCTACATTTATTAATTTGTTTGTTTGTTTGTTTATATTTTCTCTGATACAGGATTTCTGTGTGGAAATATGCCTGCCTCTGCCTCTGGAATGCTGGGATTAAAGGTGTGTACTGCCACCACCCAACGGCTCTATTTCTTTTTTCCTTTTTCTATTCTCTCCCAAGCCAATGTATATTTTTAAACACACTGTAAACTTTTTAGAGATTTTACTTCATCTGAATATGACTTTACTGTAAATCTTTATGTTTTTCTGGCCACATATCTGTATCTGCTAAAACCCATAGCTCCTTTAACTTCTGTCTTTCCAAGATGGCAGGCATAAGTTACTGCCAGCACTGGCCATGCAAGTCTCTGCTTGTCTCTAGCAAAACAGAGCCCACCCGAGAGAAATGCTGCTACCAAGAAGTCTTGCCTGTCTCTGTTCTTTTGTTTCCAAAATCCTTCTTAAGCTTTTGTTACATGAAAATTTGTGCCCCAAGTCTGTGCACCATATGTAACATGTACTCTTCCTGCCAGCCTGGTCCCAAAGCTGCATCTGTACCAAATGAGCATGCAGGATGCTATATTAATTATGAAGCTGTTGGCTGTTTGCTATGGTTTCTTAAAAGCTAGCTGTGACTTAATTATTAACCCATAATAGCTAGTATATATTTTTATAAGAACTTACCTTTCCGAGGACACCCTCCTGATGCGTCCTCTCCTCTCAGGAGATCACATGGTGACCCATCTCTTGACTACATTTCCCAGTTAGGTGTTTAGGGAGAAGGGAGGAAAAAGAAAAAGGCGTGAATAAAAAAAATAAACTAGAATAATTATGGATATATCCTGATAATGGATAGGGCTGTTCCTAGAAGCTGAGTGATATGAAACAAAACTCTCCAAGTCAGTAGTGGGATACCTCATGATATAAAGTGTTGCTTGTGGAAGCCTCAGAGGCACCCCACCAACAATATAAGTCTTTAGTACTACTTCTACTTCGGCACCATAACTATATAAGACCATAGTCCTGAGGATACCACACACCCTCTTTACAAAATATAGAAAATTCTAGTTGGACCTTGTAGTGATTTATTATTTATGATTTATTAAAGCTTGCCTGCAGATTCAGCAAACAACGTCAGCCACAAGCCATAGAAGCAAGGCAGACACCTTTAATTCTAGCAGATGACAACTAAAGTTGGTCATTAGCAGTCAGTCCAATGATATCAGACTCAGATGCTAGAAAAAAATAATTGAAAGTGTGACTTATGAAAATGCTAATGCCCAAAATGAAAATTAGGTCTTTAAAAGCAAAGACTGGATCAGAGATACAATTAATACTGAAAGTCATGATGATGATACATGGATAGAAGAGGTAATTTCAAGAGGTTTACAGAAAAACTGAAATGTCAAATGTTTTAATTACAGCAGACAACGTCACCTGAAAAGGGATTGTAAACAAGGCGTTCTAGAAACCATTATTTTTATAAATATAATCCAAACAGAAAGCATCTCCCTTCTGTATTACTTCCATAATGTAGAGATTAAAGGTGTGAGCTATAATGCTCTTTTAGACTGATTCACTCTTGTGTAGATCTGGGTGGTCTTGAACTCACAGAGATCTGTCTGTCTCTTAATCCTGAGTCCTATGATTAAAGGTGTGTACCACCGCCTCCTAGCTTCAGGTAGCTGGGATTAAAGGTGTGTTCCTGGCTTCTAAGGCTTCTGGCTGACTTTGCGTTTCTAAATCCTTAGGCAAGCTTTAACAAATCATAAATAATGTATCACTACAGGACCTGAGCTGGAAGCTTCTTCCTTATGGTGCATTTCATAATGCGGGAAGGTGTTATGCAGGATGCTGATGGTGAAACAGCATCTGCAGACCTACCTAGATGTTCAGCCATGAACTACAACAATAAACAACCCAGCAAGATATGTCTACTGTTGCAATAGCAGCATATCTGTTATGATGACAACCAAGATCTCTGTGGTTGAATTTAAAAGGAGCTCATGCTTGGTTCTATAACCTAGTTAAAAATCTATGGCTAAGGAGGTCCTAAAATCCACAGAATTTGCTGGGACCTTTTGTGATATTTTGGAAACCACCTTAAAATCAAAATAAATTAGACGAAAGTAGGGAAGGGAGGAAGGATGGAAGGAAGAAGGAAAAGAAGGAATAGAATGAAATAAGGAGGAAGGGAGGGAGAGAGGGAGGGAGGGCATGAAAGAAGAAAGAAGGAAATGCAGTTAGGCAGATATCAAATTGATTAATGTATCAGTAATTCTTGACATTGTTATACTCAAGTGTTTATGAGCAAGTAGGCAAAAATTATTCTGATTACTCTCATTTTTCTAAAAGCCCAACTTAATCAATGCAGTCAATAGCTCCTGGTGATAGCCTCCCACAACATAAGATCAATAGAAGCCTGGAAGCTGCTACAGAAAGAAATTTGAATGTGAATCAAATTGATGGGGGCCATATTATTTCTTCATGTATTTTTTAAAGAGATTCTTGTTTCCTTATGTCTTGCAAATGGTTTATCTGTTCAGGACAGCAGGTAGGACTGAACTTCAAGAGTATTTCATTTTTCATATAACAGAATGCCATTCAGTTTTAATAAAGATGTTAGTTGCGATTTTATTACCATTAGGGATCTGGTTACTATATGGGAACTGTATAATGTCGGTGAGTAAATTGGCATAGATCCTTACTTTTTTCACAATCTATTTTTTTCTTAAACTTAAAGATTCAAGAGCTAATTTTCTCCAATGGAAAATGAAATTAACTTTTGATCAGGTATATTTCATGCTTTGTTTTTAGTAGCATATAAATTCTACAATGGGTAAAATGATGGATGTTTTAGAACAGTAGTGTGTGTGTGTGTGTGTGTGTGTGTGTGTGAGTGTGTGTGTTTAAATCTATTTTCTTTTAGAACATAATTTTATGCAAAACTACTAATTTGAACACTATGGCATTTAAACTTATGACCAACGTTAACTATGGCTCTAAACTTTGAAGGCTGATGAAGCTGTGCTTTATATCCAGTCATCTAGTGAGGCAGCATTTCCTTTTGTTTTTTCACTATTCATTTTCCATTCACTTTTCAAGCCCAAGTCATCCAAAACAGAATCATTATTTGAAAACTGAATAACTCATTTCAACATTCTATTTTTTCATTAATTTTAATATTTTATGGTATTGACAATAAATATTTGAGAAGAAATGGAGTTAACACATAAAAGGCTTATGAGTTTGATACTTTTGAAAAATAATATTTTCATTGAACCTAATAGTCTAAAATGTATTGAATATGCTAGTTGTAAGTTAAAAATCATGCTATTTTTATATCTACATTTGTTGGAGTTACAGCAATTACCTTAATGGGATCTCACAATTCTTGGGACCTGTACTGAATGAACTGAGAATGGAACAAGTTGGATCGAGTTGGGTAAAGAGCTCCAACCCTGCTTTAGTGTTTTAGAGTCACAATGAAAATGGTACTAGATGCTCATTTTGTAGCATCCCTGCATAGACCTGAAAAAAATTAGTTATCCCATTGCATGACTAATTTTAATGAGCTACAGAATTTTCAATAGCAGATTTTATAGTTTTGTATCTATATTTTTCTACACAGTCCATTGAACTAGTTTCCATTTATGTGATCAGTATAACTTAGAAAGGAAAAGTGGTTTGTTACCTTTGTTACTACTGATTCAAAGGGTATGATTTCTTGTTTCTCTTGAATTCTTAATAATGACTCACAAATTCACAGTAGTTCTCTAAAGTAACCTTTGTTAGTTTAGAGGAATATGTTAAGTATTTGTCATCAGCCACCCACTCAATCGTCTTTTCATAATCCCTACAACATCCAGGAAAATATTTATTTTTTATAGATATAGTCAAAGAATATTATTAAGAATCATTGGAGAATATATCTACTACTCCATAGATACTTGCTACTCTTCATTTAATATATGAGATCGATATTTTGCCATAGCAATGGAATCTAAACTTTTGTAGTTGAGCCTAGGTATGAAAAACGTATCAATCAATAATGTAATGAAAATTACATTTTATTAAGACCTTATGCAATTGTTTCATGTCATTACCTCATATAATGAAAAACTAATGTGCAAATATTCCAGTGAATGAATAAGCTCTTTCTTAGCTTGTGTAAATATAGTAAATAAAATTCTGTTTTTTTCTGAGCATTTCAAAGCACATAAAAATGTTTCTTTTCTTAAAGATTTAATTTTCTAAAATTTTTATGTGTGTTTTCCTGCATGTATGTATGTGCACAGCATGCATGTTTGGCCAGAAGAGGGTGTCAGATCCCATGGAACTGAAAGTCATCTATCATTACTGGTACAAAATTGCTTCATTTTCTTTGTTCCTATTGCTATTAATATGGTTGTATCACTGAAAGATGCCATGGTCTGTCTATTAGACCATCCACATACTAGTTGCATTCTAAATGATTCAGTTTAGATTTTACCACATTTGAGCATCTTTCTCATAAGACATTAGTATTAGAAATATAAATTACTGCCCACAACATACTTATACCTACTCTTATGTGGGTTAAAAGAGATAGTTTTCTTTCCCTAGAAACATATAGTCATTCTAGCAAAGAAGATAACCCAGGAAAACTATCCACAATTCCATTCACATACATAAGATAAACAGAAACAAAATGACAAGAAAACAACAACCATGTGTACATTCATTTATCTCTTTCATAAGATGTTCCATTTTTACTGGAAACAAAGGTGTATTAATAAGCTACTAGATGTGGCAGACCAAAGTGGAAATCCATCACAAATAAGGCAATTTACAAGTACAGTTAATACTTAAACAGGTGTCATCAGAATACATAAAATTGAAAGTAGGAACACTTGGATTGATATTTTGTCTCTCTCCTCTTCCATTTCCAGGATCTGATTATTACCATTCTAATATTTACTACATTTTACTCTACTATTAAAATACTAGATATCTGAAGAAGATTATGAGTTTTTTCTATCTCTAACTTGTTTCATTTAGCACCCAATTTTCCATGTTCATTGTGACTGGAGATAATAATGATGCAGTGAATATTCAAATTGTCTAAAGGATGGGATTACAAATTTATTACCATAGATAAGTGACAATTAATTTAGATGATGAGTATGCTATTCTACAATATAGATGTGAAATTGAGCTTTTTTAAAGGAATCATATAAAACTATTTTTTTCTTGAAAGTATCAGATATACAACTTCTTCCCTAAAGGAGATGAAGAAAGGAAGACCTAGGGAACAAATGAAATAAGAGTTCCTCTTGATATTTTGTCAAAGATCTCCTTCCTGGCATTTTAAAATTATGACTTAAATCAGTTTAGTTAATATGAGGCAATATTCCAGAATAATTTTTAGGCTTAACCACTTGTAGCTTAATATAGGACTGATCTATTATTTGTTCATTTTTCTAAGTATGAAGCGTGGTGTCATCCCAGTCCAATGGTCTAATTTTGTTATTTAGAAGACAGCCAGGTAGAGTTCTGATCAGATGATATCAATCGAGGAAGCAATGGCAATGATTCCTACCATGAAAGACTAAGTAATGTGATGGGGGACATCCTTCTGTGTATATGCTTGTATTATTGGTTGATGAATAACAGGCTGAGCCAGAACCCTGGGTTCTTCATTTATAGGTAGTATAGCATTTGATAAGACTGGGCACTGTTTCATGATTCTGATCATGTCTCAGATAATGT